AAGATGTCTGACTTATTAAATTGGAACTTTAAGGATCGCTTTGCCTTGGACTCTGATTTAATTCTGCATGATACTTGGAACGCTGTGGTATCTGTCATACCTTTCAATGGTTGCCGAGAAACTGCTCATAAGTCAAGGACGACTTGCTAATGGTTAATCACTATATCTGTTTCACTCCTGGCATCCTCTGTTCACTGTTTCATTGCTTGTTGTGGTTTCCATATTTTACATCAGGGGTCCCTAACTGTCCGGTCTACGGATTGGCACCGGCATGCTAGAAACCAGGCCGCACAAACAAGCAAAACCCCATCCACGAGATTTAGGCAGCATATTAAAAACAGGGCCTCGCTCCATAGAAGCGGTCCCTGGTGCCCAAAAGAGTGGTGGGGAGAGGTCTCTGTTCGTAAGCTAGGAAAAAAAGTGGGAAAGATAGCTTCACCACCAGATGAATTCGCAACTGGCTGACAAACCGTACTCAATGAGTAGTCCTTAAAGTCTCTACATGGAGAGAAGTAAGCAGTGGGGTAGCACAAGGTTCTGTCTTAGGCCCAGGACTCTTCAATATCTCCTTAAATGACTTAGATGAGGGAATAGAAGGGGAATTTACCAAATTTGCAGATGGTACTAAGCTGGAAGGAATCGCTAACACCCTAGAAGACAGGCTCAAGAGTGAAGAGAAGGACCAGGGGAGGCACAAACAGCAGTCTTCCAATATTTGAGGGGCTGTCACAGAGAGGAGGGGGTCAAGCTATTTTCCAAAGCACCTGAAGGCCACACAAGGAACAATGGATGGAAACTGAATAAGGAGAGATTCAACCTGGAAATAAGGTGAAATTTTCTGACTGTAAGAACAAACAACCAATGGAACATGAGGAACAACTCCTGATGGAACAACCAATGGAACAACTCCCACAACTTCAGACGTTGTGGGAGCTTCATCACTGGAAGCTTTGAAGAAGAGATTGGACTGCCATATGTCAAAAATGGTGCAGGGTCTCCTGCTTGAGCGGGGGCGGTTGGACTAGTTGACCTACAAGGTCCCTTCCAACTCTGTTAATCTACCCAAGGAACAATGATGGTTTATGAGCAGGTAGACAATAGGGCCCTGTTGGTTACCTGTGGCTCTTTCCTTTGGGTCTCTCTGTGCCGCACCAAGAACTCTTCCGAAAAGGCCACTGCTTGGCTGCAGGTCTCTGGGCCCCGTTCCCGGACCCAACTCTGCATCTCCTGGGGGAGGATGGTCAGGAATTGCTCCAGGATCAGCAACTCCAGGATCTGCTCTTTGCTGTGTCTCTCTGGCTGGAGCCACTCGTGGCAAAGCTCCTGCAGCTGCCGGCAGGCTTCGCGGGGGCCCTCGGCCACTTGGTAGCGATGCCGCCGGAAACGCTGGCGCCGGATCTCCCCACTGGCCGTCCTTTCGTTCGGAGGCTCTTCCTTGATGCCCCCGTAGCTCCTCTGTTCTCGGTGCTCCTGGCTGCTATAGACCGTTTGAGTCCCCCTGCTCAGGCTGGCCAAAGTCTCACCTCCCCATCCTCCCGAGGGCCAGTGGCTCGGGTTGGGCAGAGCCTCATATGGGGCCTGGAAAGAGCGATTGTCCCACGTCAGGGGTTTGGCTAGAGCTGGGTTTCTCCACCCCGATGGAGAAAACTGCCGCCTGGGGGGAGCCCAGTGATGGGGCGGCAATAATTCATCCGGCTCCTGTTTGACATGGCACGAAGCCTCTCCGGATAAGAACTCCCGGGTGGAGCCGATCTGAAGGAAGCGCGTGACTCCACCCCGCCCCATCTCTTCCGCGGCTGTGTCCTCCCTCTTCAAGGCCTGCTGTGGGCTCGGCTTGGCAGCCCCCTGCAGCTGGAGGTGAAGGGCAGTGGTTTCCCCTCTCCCCGATGCCATTTTGTCCCCCGCAAGGGAGGCCCGCGTCTCACCTCGGGATGAGCGAGGTGAGGCCCTGGGGCCCTGGCAGGGAGGATGGCTGGCCCTGCCCGGCGGCCAGCGGGGAGTGCAGTGAGAACTGCAGGGCACGGAGAAGATTTTGCCTATGGGTTCCTTCTGTAAGGGAGGGGAGGGGGAGCAGCTCAGGCTCACCCACCCCCTCCGCCTTCTCAAAGCGGGAAAAGCAATCGGACCCCCGAACTCAAGGGCTGCCTTTCAGCCTCGCCACTTGCCCTACGACAGAAGCAGCCAGGGCATCGATGGCTGGGTCAAAACAGAAAGCATCGTTTCCAGGCAGGAGCTCATAATCATCATGAGAAGTAGCGGCGGCCCTGGAGATTCCTGGCTCCCTAAAAACCTAAGAGACATAAAATGTTAGAGAAAAGGCTGTTATTACTAATTCAGGATTTAATTCAGCTGCTTCCATCCCACCATTCCAGAAAGAGATAGATATGAGGATTGTTTAGCCATCTGGGCTCTTGAAGGGTGAAATGTTTAGCAGGAACCAGTTAAAGCAGATGCAACTTTTAGCATGTTTGTGTGGTTGCCCCATGCAACTGCTTCCTAATCTTAGGGAAAGAATAACAGAATAACAGAGCTGGAAGGGAACTTGGGAGGTCTTCTAGTCCAACCCAACCCCCTGCTCTACAGGAGACCCTATACTGTTCCAGACAAATGACTCTCCAGTCTTTAAACATTTAAAAATATTGATTTAAACTCACGTTTGGTTTAAAATAGTATTCTTCAATCCCATGTTGGCTACAGAATTAGCAGAGGGCTAGAATCAAGATAGCAATAGCAATAGCAATAGCAGTTAGACTTATATACCGCTTCATAGGGCTTTCAGCCCTCTCTAAGCGGTTTACAGAGTCAGCATAT